CTACCCTAGACAACAGAGTGAGATTCTGTCTCAAAAAAAAAAAAAAAAAAAAGATGGGTTCTAAAGATAGCAACGCAGCAGGAAGCCCCTTTCCACCACCTCTGTTGAGCTGCTTTTACATAAAAGTGAATCATGGCTGGTGCGGTGGGTCATGCTTGTAGTACCAGCACTACAAGCTGGGAGGCTGCTAAGGAAGGATCACTTGAGCCCAGGAGTTTCAGACCAGCCTGGGCAACATGGTGAAACCCCATCTCTACAAAAAAAAAAAAAGAAAATGCAAAAAAATTAGCCAGACGTGGTGACATGCACTTGTAGTCCCAGCTACTTGGAAGGCTGAGATGGGAAGATTGCTTGAACACAGGAAGTGGAGGTTGCGGTGAGCCTAGATCGCACAACTGCATTCCAGCCTGGGCAACAAAGCAAGACCCTATCTCAAAAAAAGAGAAAAAAAAAAAGGTGAATTATGTTTAAGCTACAGCTTACACCCAACCTTAGCCAAATCTGTTCCACTAATAGTGGGTGCTAAGTCAACCTGAGGAAGGTTACTGTGTGGAGTATGGAGAACATGTTCCTAGCAAGTTCTAACTCGGGAGGAATGGCCACAGTCCAAATGAAGTCAGGAGTCATACTCACTTCTAAGAGTCAGTCTTCTTCTCTGTAACCCTGCAAACTATGTAGGACCTAAGCCATGGTAGCTCTTTAGATCTCCTGTTGTCTCTGAAAATTAAGCAGTGCATGTGCTTAACAAGAGACTCTCTCGTTCCATGGTCCTTGTAGGACCTACCAGTTAGCTCATCCCAGTTTCTGAAGCTTTCTTACATATGCTCCCTTCCTGGCCTGGCATCTTCCTCAACACCAAGTCACACCTCTCCTCCTTCTGAAACTCTAAATATGCTGCCCTTCATATAAGAAAATAAGACACTGGCTTCATAGTATTTTCAAGTTGTTGGACCAGATCTGCACTGACCTGTTCTCTCTCTCAGTCCTGTGCCGGACAGTCTATCCTGGAAAGTCAGTGGCCAGGAGAGCCTACAGGGTAGGCTCAGGGAGAAAACAAAACCCACCTGCTCATCCCTGTCATGGAGGCTCACTGGGATCACTGTAGCTAACTAGCCACAGGCCTGCCACCTCCTCGAGAAGCCACTTTCTGGCCACTTGCCTTAATTCCTCACTTTGGAGCCCCTCAGTCCATAAATTTTTTTTGTAGTTCATGTGTTTCTTAAACTTCACTGTACCATTACCTGTGTTCTGCTATTGGCACCTTTGAAAATAGATGAAATTTAACTTGGGAACCTTTGGACTCTTTTTTTTAGTCTTTCCCTGGCACTTGCACCAGTTTTCCCATGCCTTCCAGGTACCAGGAAATCACCATTATAAATAGCTTTTATGTATTCAGGCACTTAACGATGTGCCAGGCATTGTTCTAAGAGGTTTCCGTGGATTAATTAATCCTCACCATAACCCATGGGGTTGATACTGGTATTGTCCATTTTATAGAAGAGAAAATGGAGGTACTGAAAGGTAGGGAACTTGCTCAAAGCAAAGTCACACAGTTAGCAGGCGTTGGAACCAGAGTTGGTCCCCAGAATCTAGAGTCCACACCCTTAACCACAATGCAAACTTCCCCCTTCCTCTGCCAGCTCAAAGCATCTTTCCAAGCATCTGCGAAGGACACCATGGCCACTCCTGCCTCTGCACCTTGGCTTATGCTGTCTCCTGTCTAGAATGCTCTCCCTGACATCTCCT